ATGACATTAAACTATAGTATTAATACATCACACTAAGGTGTCATTAAATCATAGTGTCAATACAGCCCAGTATGGTGACATTAAACTATAGTATTAATACATCACAGTAAGGTGTCATTAAATCATAGTGTCAATACAGCCCAGTATGGTGACGTTAAACTATAGTGTCAACACATCACTGTAAAGTGTCATTAAATCATAGTGTCAATACAGTCCAGTATGGTGACGTTAAACTATAGTGTCAACACATCACTGTAAAGTGTCATTAAATCATAGTGTCAATACAGTCCAGTATGGTGACATTAAACTATAGTGTCAACACATCACTGTAAAGTGTCATTAAATCATAGTGTCAATACAGTCCAGTATGGTGACTTAAACTATAGTGTCAACACATCACTGTAAAGTGTCATTAAATCATAGTGTCAATACAGTCCAGTATGGGACATTAAACTATAGTGTCAACACATCTCTGTAAAGTGTCATTAAATCATAGTGTCAATACAGCCCAGTATGGTGACATTAAACTACAGTATTAATACATCAGAGTAAAGTGTCATTAAATCATAGTGTCAATACAGCCCAGTATGGCGACATTAAACTATAGTGTCAACACATCTCTGTAAAGTGTCATTAAATCATAGTGTCAATACAGCCCAGTATGGTGACATTAAACTACAGTATTAATACATCACAGTAAGGTGTCATTAAATCATAGTGTCAATACACTATAGTATGGTGACATTAAACTATAGTATTAATACATCACACTAAGGTGTCATTAAATCATAGTGTCAATACAGCCCAGTATGGTGACATTAAACTATAGTGTCAACACATCACTGTAAAGTGTCATTAAATCATAGTGTCAATACAGCCCAGTATGGTGACATTAAACTATAATATTAATACATCACAGTAAGGTGTCATTAAATCATAGTGTCAATACAGCCCAGTATGGCGACATTAAACTATAGTGTCAACACATCACTGTGAAGTGTCATTAAATCATAGTGTCAATACAGCCCAGTCAAATGTCATTAAATTATAGTGTTGATACACCACAGTAAGGTGATATTTAATCACTGTAAATATGACACAGTAAGGTGTCATTAAATCACAGTGTCAATACAGTGCATTGAGGTGTCATTAAATCACTGTCAATATAGTACAGTAAGATGTCATTAAATCACAGTGTCAATACAGTGCAGTGAGGTGTCATTAAATCACTGTCAATATAGCACAGTAAGGTGTCATTAAATCACTGTCAATATAGCACAGTAAGATGTCATTAAATCACAGTGTCAATACAGCACAGTAAGGTGACATTAAATCACTGTCAATATAGCACAGTTAGGTGTCATTAAATCACAGTGTCAATACAGCACAGTAAGATGTCATTAAATCAGTGTCAATACAGCACAGTAAGGTGACATTAAATCACTGTCAATATACCACAATAAGGTGTCATTAAATCATAGCGTCGATAAAGCCCAATAAGGTGTCATTAAATCATAGCATCAATACAGCACAGTAAGGTGTCATTAAATCATAGCATCAATACCGCACAATTAGGTCACTGTGTCATAAAACCATAGTGTCATTACAACACATTGGGGTGCCTTAACATCTCAGTTTCAATACAGCACAATAATGTGCTATTACAGTACAATAATGTGCCATCACAGTACAATAATGTGTCATTACAGTACAATAATGTGTCATTACAGTATAATAATGTGCCATTACAGTACAATAATGTGCCATTACAGTACAATAATGTGCCATTACAGTACAATAATGTGCCATTACAGTACAATAATGTGCCATCACAGTACAATAATGTGTCATTACAGTACAATAATGTGTCATTACAGTATAATAATGTGCCATTACAGTACAATAATGTGCCATTACAGTACAATAATGTGCCATTACAGTACAATAATGTGCCATTACAGTACAATAATGTACCATTACAGTACAATAATGTGCCATCACAGTACAATAATGTGCCATTACAGTACAATAATGTGCCATTACAGTACAATAATGTGCCATTACAGTACAATAATGTGCCATTACTGTACAATAATGTGCCATTACAATTCAGTAATACTGTAGAATACTTTATTTTCGCTTGGAATTTATTTTCGCTATTTTCGCTGAAGGGATGATTCCGTGAAAATAAAATCCAGCGAATATACATTTTTTCTTATATTTTACATTAATCTCATCAAAAATCAGTGAAAATAAATTCCAAGCAAAACGCCCAAAAAGCCTTTTCAGCGAAAATAAATTCCAGCGAAAATAAAGTATTCCACAGTATTGCATTGCAGCATGGTAAGGTATCATTACAGCACAGTAGGATGTCGTTATAACACAGTAGGAAGTTGTTACAGTATACAGTAAGTTGTCATTAGGTGTTAAAAACCGAAATTGAATCTCACCTTAAATGGAAAAGAGACTTGTGGTACAGGTTTAAAGATCCCTCTACGTTTCATTTTAAGGTAAGACCGTCTCAATAACAGGAAAGCTATAATAACACCAATAACAGATGCAACCACAAAGACCACTACAATAACAATCTGCAATCTACTTTTAGGCACAGTTACTGAAAAATAATGTGTATCATGATTTGACAAATATACATGTAACAATGTTAGGGACTGTCAGGGGATTTACCAAATATGGCAATGTGAAGGAATGACAGATAATTTACCAACTATGGCAATGTTAGAGACTGTCATGTGATTTACCAAATATGGCAATGTTAGGGACTGTCATGTGATTTACAAAATATGGCAATGCTAGAGACCGTCAGGTAATTTACCAAATATGGCAATGTTAGAGACTGTCATGTGATTTACCAAATATGGCAATGTTAGGGACTGTCAGGTGATTTACAAAATATGGCAATGTTAGGGACTGTGATGTGATTTACCAAATATGGCATTGATAGAGATTGTCGGGTGATTTTCCAAATATGGCAATGCTAGAGACTGTCAGGTAATTTACCAAATATGGCAATGTTAGAGACGGTCAGGTGATTTACCAAATATGGCAATGTTAGGAAATGTCAGGTGATTTACCAAATATGGCAATGTTAGGGAATGTCAGGTGATCTACCAAATATGGCAATGTTAGAGACTGTCAGGTGATTTACCAAATATGGCAATGATAGGGA